AACCAAACCCTGTTCTAGTCATTAAGGCCCTTGTATTAGGGGTCGGAATAATTCCTAGCAAAAGGGAATATGCCTCAAGACGCGTCTATTCCGTATTTCCTCCTTAGTTCTTCAATCCCAATAACTCTTGCTTTTCTACAGGTATCATTCGCGAGCTGCAAAATATGTACTGTTCTTGGTGGCCGGACAATAAGGGTGCCCTTTTCTGCGTTGGTTACTTCATAAGGGAATCTTGAGCGAGAAGAAAAAACGCAAACAAGTACCACCGGGCCACCAAGTGGCATTGACAATGCATCTTCTCACCGAGAACCAAAGCTCCAGAGTGTTTTGGATTTATCGTGGAGGGTTTCCGTGGTTTGCTAACCTAAACCCTAAAACCTAGGCCCCCAACACTAGAACCCTTGAACCCTCAAGACAACCCTGTAGGATTAAGGGTTTCGGGTTCGTGACACCGAAAACTTGCCAAGAAGCGGAATACAGGTTCACCCGCTCAGGGCCCCAAAGGTCATCGTCATCCGAGAAGATCAACCAGGTACCTGCCAAGACAGGGAGCTGTGCAAAGCCAGCTAGGAAGATGGAAAGCAGCACCGGAGATGAGAAAGACTTCGCTTGTCCCCCCCCAAGTTTTAGGGTGCCTAAGGTCGAGGAGGCAGAGTTCAGAGGTACAGATGAGGACGGCTCATCGCCAGGGCTTTGCTCTTAACTACACCCCAAAAAATCCCCAACCCTATGTGCTGGGTAGAGCTTCTTGAGGCTCATGAAGCTTACCCTAAACCCTAAACCCTAAACCCTGAGCCCTAAACCCTAAACCCTAAACCCTAAACCCTAAACCCTAAACCCTAACGACGTCGGCCAGTGAAGCCAGCAGCACGGCCCCATCTGGAGTTGCTCCTAAACCCTAGGCCTTTGCCCGCAAAAAAAAACACCCCCGGCCCCCCCCTCCCCCCTACCGAAAAGAAAACACATATATATATATTATAACGAAGAAGGGGCAGAGGCCCAAGCACAGAAACAAAAACCGCTAAACTCCCAAACCCCAAACCCCTGAACCCCTAAACCCCAAACCCGAAACCCTAAACCTTAAACCCCCTAAACCCTGAACCCTACACCCCCAAACCCTATAAACCCCTAAACCCTAAACTCCCAAACCCTAAACCCGTAAACAATAAACCCCTAAACCCTAAACCCTCAAGCCCTTAAACCCCTAACCCCTAACCCTAAACCCTAAACCCTGAACGCCAAAGAGGGCGCCCTGCGGCAACTCGCGTAGGTGCTCCCGGTAAAGCCAGCGGATGTCGAAGAACTGGGAGGTTCGCTTCGTCTGCCTTCTGCAGGGGTTTAGGGTTTAGGGTTCTAGCGTTTAGGGGTTAGGGTTTAGGATTTAGGGGTTAGGGTTTAGGGTTTAGGGCTTAGGAAAAAGGGTTTGGGTTTAGGGTTTGGAGTTTCGAGTCACGACTCTCCTTTCCGTGGGCCAACATTTCGGGGTCTTGTCCGGGTTGCTGGGGACTTTCGAGGGTCCGTTACCCTAAGGGTCCATGCACCTAAATAAGGAATACTTGGGCCTTAAGGTACATCCTAATAGGGTCTTCAGGGCCCAAGTATATCGGGTTTGTTGGACACCCAAGCCCCTAAGCCCTAAACCCCTTACACCCCTTTTTGCTACCCTAAGACCGACCCCTGTTCGCACCTGAACCCGATATACCCTAAACCCTAAACTCTAATCTCCCGAAACCCTGGACCCCCTGAACCCTAAATCCTAAACCCCGAGCCCCGGCCGTCGAGGCCCAGCCACCTGAGCCACTGCACAGGCGACGGGGCCAGGCGCTTCGAGACCGCAGCGAGAGCCTCTTGGGGTTCAGGGTTCAGGGTTCAGGGTTTAGGGTTTAGGGTTTAGGGTTTAGGGTGTAGGGTGTAGGGTGTAGGGTTTAGGGTTGAGGGAGTTGATGGAGGCTAGGAGTTTAGGGGTTTAGGGGTTTAAAGGCTGCAAGGTTTGGGGTTTGGGGGCTCAGGGTTCGGGAGTTCTCTTTATCATAACATGGCTGCTGGTGGGTCGGCCTGAGAGGTCGCCACCGTTGTGTTTTAAGGACGGTGTGGCCAAGTCGGCCGGTTTAGGGTTCAGGGTTCGGGTTTAGGGCTTAGGGTTTAGGGTTTAGGGTCTAGGGTCTAGGGTTTAGGGTTTAGGGTTTAGGTTTAAGGTTTAAGGTTTAAGGTTTAAGGTTAGCCTTGCTTTGCATCTGCAAGCTCTTGGCTTGGTATTTGTACGCTCGAGCTGGAGATTGCTAATGGCTAACTGCTACTTGCTAATTGCTAATTGCTAACTGCTAATTATCTAAGTACTAATTACCCCAGTACAAATTTTTAATTGCTAATTACTTGTTTATAATTTCTATTTGCGAATTACCAATTCCTAATTGTTATTAACTACTAATTACTACTTACTAATTCCTAATTACTAACTAACTGCTACCTACTCATTACTAATTACTAAGTACTATACACTAGTTACGGTTTACTAATTACTAATTGCTAATTTTTAGTTACTACTTACAAATTACTAATTACTAAGTACTAATTACTACTTAATAATTACTAATTACTAGTTACCAGTTACTATTTACTAATTACTAATTGCTCATCGCTCATTTAGAACTATGAGCTACTAGTTACTACTTACTAAATATAAATTAGAAATTTACATTTCTAATCGTTAATTCCTAATTTCTAATTTCTGGTTAGTGATTTCTACGATTACCACCTACTACCACTACCACCACCTCCTTCTAGTACTGCTAACGCTAATACTACTACTACTACTACTACTACTACTCCTCCTCCTACTACTACTACTACTACTACTACTACTACTACTACTACTACTACTACTACTACTACTACTACTACTACTACTACTACTACTGGTAGTGGTAGCACTACCACGATTACTAACCGAGCGGGGCCACTAGGAGTGACTCTTGGCAGCAACTCCGCTTGGTAGATGATCTGTTGCGTCACATCTGCGGGTCCTCTTGGTCTTCCTCTCGATTGGAGTTGGCTGCGAGGCTGCTGCGGGACTGCGGGACGCTTCAGAGGCCGGAGGGCCGCGTCGTCCAGCTTGATCCAGTTGACCTGGCCGGTCTTGCGCTGGTAGGGAACGGGCTTCTCATAGCGAACAGGGCTCGACACGACCCACGCGTGCCACTGCTTCCATTGAAAAGCTTCGAAGTTCTCGACATGATGTCGGTCGAAGTTCGCGGGCAGCGGTGGGAAGTTTGCTTTGCTGCCTTCGACCGCAACGAGCGTGCCTCCAACATCGCGCTCTGCGACTTGCATAGACTCCAGGACGACAACCTCGCCGATGATGTGCCCAGCCACTGCAACGCCGACGCGCCCCCTTATGTGGCAAGCGGTACCACGGAACTCCCAGTCCTTGGCGCCGTCGACAAGGTAATTGGCCCACGGCTCCTGCACGACCAAGGCACGCTCTGGAGGCTGCAACGGTCGGGCCATCACAGGAGGTCGCAGAAGTGAGAAGTAGGATGACAAGAAACACACGAGGCTCGAAGCTAGACTGTTGGCGTGCCGGTGCCGAGTCGTGTCCTCGTACTGGGCGTTGGGTATTCATTATGTAGACTACAGAAGATGCTTTGACAGCTCACAGCGTGCCATCTACGTAGTCCTAACGTCACTCACTGAAAGGCACAGCTCGCTTGTTTGTTTTTGCCTGCCTGCGGGCTCTCTGTACACTGTACAGAGGTGCTGCACCGCCGACCCCCTGGATTAGGAGAAGTTTCATCGTAAATGGGCTCGTCTCTGTCGTCGAAGATTTCTTCTCTCTCTCTCTTCTCTCCCTTCTCTCCCTTCTCTCCCTTCTCTCTCTTCTCTCTCTTCTCTCTCTTCTCTCTCTTCTCTCTCTTCTCTCTCTTCTCTCTCTTCTCTCTCTTCTCTCTCTCTCTTCTCTCTCTTCTCTCTCTTCTCTCTCTTCTCTCTCTTCTCTCTCTTCTCTCTCTTCTCTCTCTTCTCTTTCTTCTCTCTCTTCTCTCTCTTCTCTCTCTTCGTGCTGTCTCTCTCTTCCTGCTGTCTCTCTCTTCCTGCTCTCTCTCTTCTCTCTCCCTCTTCTCTCTTTCTCTCTCTGTTTCTCTCTCTCTCTCTCTCTCTTTTCTTTCTCCTCTTTCAGGCACAGGTCCAGCTCCAGCAGCGAGCTTGCGCTTCGGAGCTCTTGCAATTCCGCGGAGCGGAGAACTGCATAGTGAGTGCCTTTGGGTAGGCAATAATATCCGCTCGGCCCCGTCCTTCTGTTTTATCTTGGCGGGGCTTCTTCGGCGATGGCGACGACGGCACTTCGACCTCCTTTCGGCCAACCTAGCGGACTACTCAAAGTTTGTCCGTACCTCGCGCTGGGCAAGCCTCGTCCTGATAGGCAGCCCAAACACCAGAATCGCAATCGCGAGGTTCCCCCCCCTCTTTTCACACTCCCCACCCCTTTGGCCCACTTGCAAGCAGTGTCGGTGTCAACGGTGTTGGGGACTTCGTAGCCCAGGAACCTTATAATAAGGGTACTCTGTTTTGGGTTAGAGACGTTTTTCAAAGGGCACCCTGAACCAACAAAGTGGGAAAAGGGCACCACGGGGCTACCAAGGGGATCTCCTACGGCTACAGAAGCTCTCAACCGGGCGTCCATGCCCTCGACCCTAAGCCCTACACCCTAAACCCTAAACCCTTATAAAATCTAAGTAGACCCGAGACTCTAAACCCTCAACCCTCAGCCCTGAAGCAGAGTCAGGAAAGTGTATACCCTAAGCTTCCCGAAGCCTTAAAGAGCCCCTTAAACCCTCTGAGACCCTTATGCCTTTACCCCTCTATAACCCCCAAAGTCACCCCCCAAAAGCCCCCTGAAGCCCCCAAAAGTTCCCTAAGACGCCGAAGATCCCCTAAAGCTCCTAAACCCTAAACCCTAAACCCTAAGCCTTAAGCCCTAAGCCCTAAGCTGCTGAACTTCCGGCCTTTTCGACCTCCAGCGCAATGGCATCCGGAGCAGACCAGACCTGGGAAAGCAGCAGGGAGCTCCGTAAGGTGTCAGCAGGCTCGGGGTTTAGGGTTTAGGGTTTAGGGTTCAGGGTTCAGGGTTCAGGGTTCAGGGTTCAGGGTTTGGGTTCAGGATCCAGGGTTTAGGGTTTTAAGATTCAGAGGTGCTTAAAGTTCAAAGCTTAAGTTTTTTTGTTAGGATGTTGGGCTTTGAGGCCTACTGAGAGTGTGTTTAGTGAGGAGCCCTCTGGCGACAGCAAGATTGGGCTTCAGGGAAAGAACTCAGGAGTGTGGACGTGTAAACATCTGAACGAAAGATCTGGGGTGAACGGGTGAGGGAACCGAGAATACAACCCTAAACCCTAAACCTCAAACCCGATCGTCCGCCAGCACTTTCTAGAAGTCGCCACGTGAAAACCGCAGAAACCTCCCGTCAGAAACAAATGCACACTCCTTACCAAGCACCCAAAATTCTAGGTGCTTTTTTAAACCCGAAACCCTAAACCCTACAACCCTATACCCCAAACCCTAAACCCCAAAACCCTCAACCCCAAAACCCTGAACCCTGCGTGAGCCTGAAATGCGACCCTAAACCCTAAACCTTAAACCCTAAACCCTACAACCTAAACCCTCAACCCTCAACCCTAAACCCTAAACCCTAAACCCTAAACCGGCCCTGGCGCGACGTAGAAGCCATCCAACGGCAGCGTCTGCTCTGCAACGGAGTCGAGGCACTGCTGCAACCTGCTTTCGCCCCTCCTATACCCTAAACCCTAAAGCCTAAAGCCTAAACTCCCTAAACTCCCTAAACCCTGAACCCTAAACTCTCTAAACCCCAAACCCTGAACCCTAAGTTTAGACCTTAGGTGGCTGCACCCAGACCCCTGCGCCCTGAAACTCTCAAGAATTGCTACATGCGAGACGCATGAGAGAGCTAGGATTTGCAAAGCCCGAAACCCCTGAACTCCAAACCCTAAACCCTTAACCTTGGGATGTTTTCCCTTTTTTTCCTAGCAGTCCTTCATAGGGATTATAGTACTTACTATAACCCCTAGTATAAGGACTGTCAGTATAAGGGGGAACACCCCAACCTAAACCCAGAAACCCTAAACCTTAAATCCCTAAACCCTACAGGGGCCCTGTTTGGGTTTAGGGTGTAGGGTTTAGGGTGTAGGGTTTAGGGTTTAGGGTTTAGAGTTTAGGGTTTAGGGTATAGGGTTTAGGGTATAGGGTTTGGGGTCGTTGTGGCTGCATAACTGATCAATTGAACAAAAACTCAAACTTTTTGTCAGTTTTTCAAAAGTTCGAAATTTGAAGGTCAAGTCGCAAGAAAAAGGCAAAAAAATGGACGTCTGGGAATTTGAGAAAAGACGAAGTGAGAAGATGAACTGGCATTCATTCATTGCAATGATCTTCTTTCTGAACCCAATTAGGGTTGAGGGTTAAGGGTTTAGGGTTTAGGGCTTGGTACGCTAAAGGATATACTGTTGGATTTCGGGCTTTGGGTTTTAAGTGTCCCTCTCCTAAAGACCCAAAAAAAAACCTACATCCCCTAACCCCCCCCCCCCCTTCCTACAACAAAAAAACAACCCCAAACACCACAAACAAAACCAAAACCCCCCAAAGCCCCTCTCCCCAAACAAAAAAGCAAAAAGTAATAATAAAAAACAAAAATGCCTACAACCCCCCCCCCCCAAAAAAAAAAAAAGCACAAAAAGAACACACACAAAACTAACCCCCCTCCCCCAACAAAAAAACCCAACAACCCACCCAAACAAAAAGAACAAACGAGAAAAAAATGAAACGATTCCCTAAAATAAGAAGCAGGCCCAGTGCACCCCAAACCCTAAATCCTAAACCCCTGAAAACCTCAAAGAAGCCCCCCAAGAATCGAACCTAGACCCAGCCTTTTGTAGGAACCCTAACCCTAAAAGAGGAAATAAGGGCCTACTCCGGGCCCCAGTAGCCCTAAACCCTAAACCCTAAACCCTAAACCCTAAACCCTAAACCCTAAACCCTAAACCCCCCTGACAAAAAGGAATCATGCCCTACTCGGGTTCCTAGGAGCTGTTGGCCCGGCCTGGTGAGGCGCTTCTTGTCCCCGATGTGGCTGGAGAGCACGCCGCAGAGACCTCGGGGTGTGGGGGTTCAGGGTTTGGGGCTTTGGGGTTTTGGTTTGGGGGTTGTAGGGCTTCGGGTTTGGGGTTCAGGGGTTTGGGGTTCAGGGTTTTGGGGCTTAGGTTTGGGGGTTCTAGGGCTTAGGGTTTGGGGTTGCCCCAGGCACCAGAGGCCTCTGCGGCGACTTGTTGCGACAAGGCCTCAGCCACCGGATCTGGAGCACATCTTCCTCATGCTCTGCCTCCGGATTTGCTTCCTAGCCGGGAGGTGGGTGGTCTGGCTCTCTTGCTTCTGGCGTCGGTCCGGCATCCCCACAGTGGCCTAGCGCTCTGCCAGACGACGCTGGAGCTCGTCCGGCAGCGCGGTCACGGAGCTCCGTATCCAGCACTGGATCCTCATGGCCAGCGCAAAAGAGCAACGGAGAGCTAAGAGACGGTGCCGGAGAAACTGGGTTTAGGGTTTGATTAGGGTTTAGGGTTACTTGTGGGCCTTCAAGCGACTGACTGAATGGAGAGGTGTTTGTTGGTTCTTTGGGTCTTAGGGGGTGGTGGTGCTTTGTTTTCTTATTTTGTGTGGGGGGGCTGTCGGGGGTTTTGGCTCGTAAATCCCTTAACCCCCGACCCTAACCCCTAAACCCTACCTGGATCTCCACTTGCAGCCAAATTACGGGCGAGGATGCGTTGCGGGGAAATACAGTCGAGCCCATAAGTTACGTTAGTTGCAGTCTTTTCCCGTTGCACGGCGCCCGATCAAGTTTCTACCTTTGTTTATGGTCGTTCTACGGGTCTTCTATGGGTTTCTCCGCGTGCTTGCGGTCGTTCCGTTGCCTCTGGGCAGGAGGATTAGTTTTATGGTCGTTGAACAAAAAATAGGGGCGCTCATGGAGAAATACGCTTGTGTTACCAACAACCAAATAAAGAACCGTCGATTTGGAGCGCCAGGTAAATCCCTGAACCATTAAACCCTAAACCCCTGAACCCCTAAACCCTACGCAAAACTGAAACCTAAACCCGAAGGTCCGAATAAACAAAACCAAAAACCAATAACCCTAAACCCTAAAACCCTGAACCCTAAAACCTCCAGACCCTGAAACAACAACCAAACTCTGAAAGACGCACCTTAATAGGGATATAGTACCCCTTTTCTAATCCCGATTAAGGACTGCTAGCATAAGAGGGAACATCCCAACCCTAAACCCTAGACCCTAAACCCTAGACCTCCAAAAACGCCATCAAAACTCCCAAAGACGCCGGGCGGCGGAAGGCAAGCCCCGCCGGCGGCGGCTGCGGGAGAGGCATGGCAAACCGCGTAAGGTTTTACACAGGGTTTTACAGTAATAGCCTACCAAAAAAGTAGGCTTTGGGTTTTGGAAGTGGCAGATATAGTTGCGGGCGTTACAGCTAAGGATTGAGGGTCTTTGAGTTCAGGGGCTTTGCAATGGAGGGTTTTTAGGGTTGAAGGCCCTTGGTGACTCAGGAGTTTGGAGAGGAGTAGGGGTCACCCTAAACCCTAAACCCTATTCCCTAAACCCTAAACCCTAAACCCTAAACCCTAAACCGGTTCATGTCCAGGAAGCAACGTGGTCTTTCAGTGGCTTGAACCGCTGCTTGATTGGCTCAGGCAGGCGTGTTCGGCTCAGATCCTTTAGCCCCTTCATCAAGGACTTTACCTTAAGTCACATTAAGGATCCTTTTATTACATAAATACATATATATATATATATATACATATATACATATGTATATATATATATATATACATGTATATATATATAGCTTAAGGTACATTCCTTCATCAAGGGGTATTGGGCTCTCTGCGCGAGCCGTAAGTTCTGACTAGCACTGACTGAAGGGCAACTTGGCTGCACTTAGTAAGGTAGCTATAAGTAATTTTTTAGCTGCCTTACTAAGAAACCAAATAAACCCAAAAAGGCTAAGGATCTAAAGTGACAGTCAAGCACCGCAAAGTGCAACCTCCAGCAATGTACACAAGACCTGAAGCCAAAAGCCTCGCTTCAGAAGTACGGCCCCGAAGGGCAAGATAAGCCCAAATCCATAGAGCCTAAGCATTTCAGGGTTTCAGGGGTTTTAGGGTTGGTTTTCGGGTTCAAAACCTTCCTGAGCCTCGCACAAGGTCACCCCAGCATGCTGGGAGCTCCGCTAAAATGGGGGCGCCTCGTTGGCCCCCGATGGATTCGAGGGTCTCTAAGCCTTAACCCAAAGAGCCCAATATTGCTTAATTAAGCAATATACCTTAAATCATATAGGGGTCCTGAATATGATTTAAGGAATATTCCTTAATTAAGCAATATTGGGCTCTTTGGGAAACTCTGAACATTACACCGCCAACATCTGGGCTCTGCTTTCTTCTGCCCAGGCCATAGACATGTGCGGGCTTTCAAGCCCTAAAACCCTAACCCTAAACCATAAAACCCTAAACCCTAAACCCTGGTATAGGGGCGGTTGTTAAACGTGTTTAGGGCTTAAACGGTGGGAGAGCAGCAAACTCTCAGAAGCCGGGGCTCCCACTGCATCTTTTGGGCTTTTCTCCTCCGCTTCCTTCTCTATGCGGGGGTTTTGGGGTGTGGGAATACTATTCAGGTTTAGGGTTTAGGGTTGAGGGCGGTGGGGGGTTGGGGGGGGGGGGGGTGTCATGGTATGATCTGTAAGGAATCTACCTGAATCCTAAAACCCCCCCCCCCCCCCCCCCACCCCCGAACCCTAAACCCTAAACCCATCTTTTGCTGCCGACGGCGATGGGTCGTTTTCACAGGCGGCTCCGCCTCAGAAGGATGAAGGTTGACGGCTTCTCTAGGGTTGAGGTGTTTAGGGGTTATAGGGTTCAGGACAGATAGGGCTTAGGGCTTAGGGCTTAGGGCTTAGGGCTTAGGGCTTAGGGCTTAGGGCTTAGGGCTTAGGGCTTAGGGCTTAGGGCTTAGGGCTTAGGGCTTAGGGTTTAGGGGGGTTGCTGTTTCGTTGGGCCTCTGGAGAGGAGTCGGGATTAGGGCACTTCGGGTTCATAGGGTCTCTCCAGCCAAGAGTGGCAAGTATGAGCTTCGGATTGCGAGGCCCCTCAGGCAATCAAACAGCGCCCCGTCCCACGCACCCGTCGTCCCAGCCCACATCCTCCCCCCAAACCCTAAACCCTAAACCCTAAACCCTAAACCCTAAACCCTAAACCCTAAACCTTAAACCCTAAATCCTAAACCCAACCCACCAAACCAAACAAAAAACAACTCACTTCCTTCAAAGTGAACCCCTAGACCCTCAATCCCAGATCCTAAATCCTCCTGAACCCTAAACCCTAACCTTAAACCCTAAACACTAAACCCTAAGCCCTAAACCCTAAACTCCGATTTGCTCGAAACCCTGAGGCCTTGGACACCTTAAATGCGCGGGTGCTTGGGAAGGGAGAGGAGGGGATCCCTCCAGAAGAATGACGCAGCCATGTCCCCAACAACCCGATAAGGCCGGCTTTAGGGTATGTGGCATGGACCTTTAGGGTCAATTTGGCACGCCCCTTTGTTTACTATTTACAAAACTTCTTGAAAGTAGTAGTGGTAGTAGTAGTAGTAGGAGTAGTAGGAGTAGGAGTAGTAGTAGTAGTAGTAGTAGTAGTAGTAGTAGTAGTAGTAGTAGTAGTAGTAGTAGTAGTAGTATTAGTAGTAGTAGTAGTAGTAGTAGTAGTAGTAGTAGTAGTAGTAGTAGTAGTAGTAGTAGTAGTAGTAGTAGTAGTAGTAGTAGTAGTAGTAGTAGTAGTAGTAGTAGTAGTAGTAGTAGTAGTAGTAGTAGTAGCAGTAAATGTAGATCCAGCCGGCCAACAGCCAGACTTAGGCAAGCACCCTCGGGGTTTCCTGTGACTTGGTAGGGGCCAGAGGTTTGTCGTATGTCCCCTCCCTTCGTCCCTTCGTGTTGTAAGGGTTTTGTAAGGGCTTTGGAGGTTTGTGTGCTTCCCCTTTCTCGTTCTTATAGGTTTTGGGGGAGCATCAAAATGATTAACATATATGATGTGTTTCCGTGCTCGTATTATGAGGGCTAGTGCCTGCCTTAGAGGTTTGTCGTATGTCCCCCTGCTTCGTGTTCCTGTGATTTGGTAGGGGGCTAAAGGTTTGTCGTGTGTCCCCTCCCTTCGTCCCTTCGTGTTGTAAGGGTTTTGGGAGGGTCCTGGAGGGTTGTCGTATGTCCCCTTTGTTCGTGCTTGTAGGGTCTGGGGAGTGTGTAGATGATAATCACATATCATGTGCTTCCGTGCTCGTATTATGAGGGGCTAGTGATTGGCCTGGAGGTTTGTCAGATGACGCCCCCGCTTCGTGATCCTGTGATTTGGTAGGGGCCTAAAGGTTTGTAGTGTGTCGCCTCCCTTCACTCCTTCCTATTTTAAGGGTTCTGTGAGGGCCCTGGAGGGCCCTGGAGGTTTGTCGTATGTCCCCTTTCTTCTTGCTTGTAGGGTTTGGGGAGCATCTAGATGATAGAGGTTTGTCGTATGTCGTCTCCCTTCGTCCCTTCGTGTTGTAAGGGTTTTGTGAGGGCCCTGAAGGTCTAGGGCAGTTACTAGCGCCTCATAGTACGAGCACGGAAGCAAATGATAATGACAATCATCTAGACGCTGCCCAAATCCTACAAGCACGAAGAAAGGGACATACGGCAAATTTGCAGGGCCCTCGCAAAACCCTTACAACAAGAAGGGACGAAGGAAGGGCACATACGACAAACCTCTAGGACCCTCACGAAACCCTTACAACACGAAGGGACGAAGGGATTGTATCTAATTTCGTATATGGTAAAATGACATACGACAAATCTGCAGGACCCTAGCAAATGACATGAACACGAAGCAGGGAGACATAAAACAAACCTCTAGGGCAGTCACTAGCCCCTCATAATACGAGCACGGAAGCAAATCATATATGATAATCATCTAGACGCTCCCCACGCCCTACAAGCACGAAGAAAGGAGACATACGATAAATCTTCCAGGTCCAACAAAACCCTTGCAACTCAAAGGGACGAAGGGAGGGGGCACACGACAAACCTCTTTAGGCCCCTACCACATCGCAGGAACAGAAAGCGGCGGGACATACGACAAACCTCTATGACAAACACCAGCCCCTCATAATACGAGCACGGAAGCAAATGATATATGACAGTTTTCTAGAAGATCCCCAAACCCTCTAAGAAGAAAGAAAGGTGACATACGACAAACCTTCCCCCAACAAAGCAATTTCAACACGAAGGGACGAAAGGAGGGGACATTCGACAAGTCTCTGGCCCCTACCAAATCTCAGGAACACGAAGCGTGGGGACATACGACAAATCTCCAAGGGCCCTCAGAAAAATTTTATCAGCCTTACAACACGAAAGGACGAAGGCAGGGGACATACGACAAACCTGTAGGCCCCTACTACATCACAGGAACAAGGAAGCGGGGGGGGGGGCATACGACAAACCCCTAGGGCAGTCACTAGCCCCTCACAATACGAGCACGGACTCAAGTTATATGTCAGTCGTCTAGACGCTCCCCAAACCCTACAAGTGAGAAGAAAGGGGACACACGGCAAATTTGCAGGGCTCTCACAAAAACCCTTGCAACACGAAAGGACGAAGCGAGGGAACGTATGACAAACCTCTAAGCCCCTACCAAATCACAGGACCAAGGAAACGGGGGGGACAAATGACAAACCTCTAGGACAGCCACTAGCCCCTCATA